TCTTTTTTTTTTTTGACAGAGTTTCGCTCTTGTCGCCTGGGCTAGAGTGTAGTGGCATAATCTCAACTCATGCAACCTCCACTTCCCGGATTCACGCGATTCTCCAGCCTCAGCCTGTTGAGTAGCTGGGATTACAGGTGCCTGCCACCGCGCCCAGCTAATTTTTGTATTTTTAGTAGAAACGGGGTTTCACTATATTGGCCAGGCTGGTCTTGAACTCCTGACCTCAGGTGATCCACCGGCCTCAGCCTCCCAAAATGCTGGGATGATGGGTGTGAGCCACCAAGCCCGGCCAGACAGGCAGCCTTTTAGGGTCTCACGTGGATAACCCCAATAAACCCTCACAATTGCCTGAAGGCAGACCATCATGATCCTTGTTTTTCAGACAGGAAAACAGAGGTCTGAGACCCTCTATCCCTAGAGGTGTACATCCCCTCCCTGGGGAAGGTTCTGAGACCTCTGTGTTCCTAGACTTCTACATCCCCTCTCTGGGGAAACTTCCAGGCAGGGGACGTAGACATCTAGGGATACAAAAATAAAAATAAAAACCAGTCCCCACCACCAACCAGAAGCGGTTTCCTCAATATGAAAGTGCAATGTCATCTTTCTTAGAGGAAAAGCACAGCCTCTTCCCCTCGGCTGAGCCAGGCCAGCAGCCTAGCTTCCGGAAGGACCCTTAAGGCTCCAGATACCCAAACTACCCGTGGCCAGTGGTGACAGGGGCCTAATTCCCAACTTGAAAGTAGCCCGACAGGCTGGAGCCCTGTCCCCTAGCCTCCCCGGGAGGGCCCAAGCAGGTCACGTAAGCACCGTGGGGACACCAGTGAGCCAAACCCATCTTTGTGCCAGGACACCGAGTTGGGTATGGAGACTCAGAGCAGGGACAAGTCTTCCTTAGGATCACCTGGGCTTTTTCTTTTTTTTTTTTTTTTGAGACAGAGTCTCGCTCTGTCGCCCGGGCTGGAGTGCAGTGGCTGGATCCTGTCTCTTATACACATCTAGATGTGTATAAGAGACAGCCGCCCGTCTCGGCCTCCCAAAGTGCTGGGATTACAGGCTTGAGCCACCGCGCCCGGCCCACCTGGGCTTTTTCATCTTTATTATTATTAATATTTTGGAAGAGGAGTGGGACTCAGCCAGGTGGCAAACACAGGGCAGGGCAGGAGAACAGTGTCCAGGGCTGACGGAGGAGCAGGTAGCATGGACGCCTCCCTCCCCTGGGCTCCCTCATAGCCTTGTGTGACTTCCTCTAGGGGAGTTGTCACCTGCTGATTATCTGTGTTGCCCACAGACAGGGACCCCACTGAGGGTCAGATTCATGTCTGGGCAAACGGAGACTTCCGGAAAAAGAAGCGAAAGGAGGATGACCAGACCCAGAGGAGAGGCATTTGGGGGCAGAAGGGGTGAGGGGAACTTGGAGACCTTTGCTCTCTAGCAGCCCCACTGGGAGAGGATTTATTTTTATTTTATTTTATTTTATATTTATTTTACTTTATTTTATTTTATTTTATTAATTTTTGGAGATGGAGTCTCACTCTGTCACCCAGGCTGGAGTGTAGTGGCGCGATCTCGGCTCACTGCAAGCTCCGCCTCCCAGGTTCAAGCAATTCTCCTGCCTCAGCCTCCCGAGTAGCTGGGACAACAGGCGTGCGCCATCACACCTGGTGAATTTTTGTATTTTTAGTAGAGACGGGGTTTCACTGTGTTGGCCAGGCTGGTTTCAAACTCCTGATCTCATGATCCGCCCGCCTTGGTCTCCCAAAGTGCTGGGATTACAGGCGTGAGCCACCGTGTCCGGCCACCCAGCTAATTTTTTTGTATTTTTAGTAGAGACGGGTTTTCACCATGTTGGCCAGGCTGGTCTCGAACTCCTGACCTCAGGTGATCCGCCTGCCTCAGCCTCCCAAAGTGCTGGGACTACAGGCGTGAGCCACCTTGCCCAGCTGACCCTGGCTGTTTAAAAAATTAAAATAAAAAATAAAGGAATGAGGCCAGGCGCGGTGGCTCAAGCCTGTAATCCCAGCACTTTGGGAGGCCGAGGCGGGTGGATCACCTGAGGTCAGGAGATCGAGACCAGCCTGGCTAACCCAGTGAAACCCCGTCTCTACTAAAAAAAAAAAAAAAAAAAAAAAAAAAAACTAGCCGAGTGAGGTGGCGGGCACCTGTATGTAGTCCCAGCTACTCGGGAGGCTGAGGCAGGAGAATGGCAGGAACCCGGGAGGCAGAGCTTGCAGTGAGCTGAGATCCGGCCACTCCATCTCAAAAAAAAAATAAAAAAATAAAAATAAAAAAATAAAGGAATGAAACACTAATACATACTGCAACATGGATGAATCTCAAAAACATTACACTGAGCACAAAAGACACCAGAGAGGGGCTGGGCACGACGGCTCCCGTCTGTAATCCCAGCACTTTGGGAGGCTGAGGCAGGTGGATCACTTGAGGTCAGCAGTTTGAGGGCAGTCTGGCCAACATGGTGAAACCCTGTGTTTATCAAAAAATGCAAAAATTAGCCAGGCATTGAGGCAGGCACCTGTAATCCCAGCTACTTGGAAGACTGAGGCATGAGAATCACTTGAACCCAGGAGGTGGAGGTCCCAGTGAGCCAAGATTGCACCACTGCACTCCAGCCTGGGCAATAGAGGGAGACTCTGTTTCAGGAAAAAAAAAAAAAAAAAAAAAAAAAGGTTCCAAATAGCTATTACTAAAAATACATGTA